TCCTAAAAACTGTACTTCATACTGGTCGAAGATCCATTTTTCCAATTTACAAGGTTTGCCGAACTTGTTTAACGTGATTGTGGTGAGACTGGAGGTCAGAAGAATAAATAAGGATATCATCCAGATAGACCAAGACAAACGAGTAAATGTAATCCCTGAGTACATCGTTAATGAAATCTTGGAAAACCGCTGGAGCATTGCACAACCCCAGTGGCATCACTAGATATTCATAGTGTTCACTTCTGGTATTAAATGCAGTCTTCCACTCATGGTTTTCCTCGAATCTCACTAAATTGTAAGTGCTTCTAAGGTCAAGCTTAGTAAACACTTTAGCGCCCTGGAGTCTGTCAAATAATTTAGCAATCAGAGGAATGGGGTAGGCGTTCTTAATAGTGATTTTGTTCAATGCCCTGTAATCGATACATGGGCGCAACTCACCATCTTTTTTAGATACAAAAAATAATCCTGCACCAGCAGGCAGGGCCGTCTTTAACGCGGGGCAAACGGGGCAGCTGCCCCGGGCCCAGTTTCTCTTGGGGGGCCCGAGGCACCTGCCCCGTGGGCCCCGCTGCCCTCATCAATTTATTTTTTTCCCCGTCCCACCGGGTGGCCCATGCACTTAGGGCAGTGGCGTACATACCAGGGTCGCGGCTGTGACCCTGGTATGCACCCACAGGGCCACCATCTTCCCCTGGGGGGCCCAGGAGGCGGCCACCCCAGGGCCCCCCGAGGCTGGCCCTGCTGACCCCGGCGGGCGGGTGGCCGGTCGGGCAGGAAGGCGGGCGCGCGAGGGAGCACTCAGTGCTTCCTCTTCAGCTCCCTCGCGCACCGCACTGATACCGGAGCCGGAAAATGACGTCATCTTCCGGCGCCGGCATCCCTACGCGGCGCGCGAGGGAGCTGAAGAGGAAGCACTGAGTGCTCCCTCGCGCGCGCGCCTTCCTGCCCGACCGGCCACCTGCCCGCCGGGGTCAGCAGCACCACTGGACCCCAGGGAATCCCCCCAGCACTCCAAAAGGTAAGGACGCTGGGGGATTACATTTAAAAAAAAAATGTGTGTTTATGTGTTTGTGTGTTAGTGTATGTGTGTGTTAGTGTATGTGTGTTAGTGTGTTAGTGTATGTGTGTTAGTGTGTGTTTGTGTGTTAGTGTGTGTTAGTGTATGTGTGTTAGTGTGTGTTTGTGTGTTTGTGTGTTAGTGTATGTGTGTTAGTGTGTGTTTGTGTGTTAGTGTGTGTTAGTGTATGTATGTTAGTGTGTGTTTGTGTGTTAGTGTGTGTTAATGTATGTGTGTTAATGTGTGTTAGTGTGTGTTAGTGTATGTGTGTTAGTGTGTGTTTGTGTGTTTGTGTGTTAGTGTATGTGTGTTAGTGTGTGTTTGTGTGTTAGTGTGTGTTAGTGTATGTGTGTTAGTGTGTGTGTTTGTGTGTTAGTGTCTGTGTGTCAGTATGTCTGTCTGTGTGTCAGTATGTCTGTGTGTGTTTTTGTCAGTATGTATGTCTGTCTGTGTGTCAGTATATCTGTGTGTGTGTGTTTCAGTATGTCTGTGTGTGTGTGTCAGTCTGTCTGTGCATGTCAGTATGCCTGTCTGTGTGTGTGTGTATATCTGTGTGTGTGTGTGTGTGGCAGTATGTCTGTCTGTGCGTCAGTATGTCTGTTAGTGCATGTGTCAGTATATCTGTCTGTGTGCCAGTATGTCTGTGTGTGTGTGTGTCAGTATATCAGTCTGTGTGTGTCAGTGTATGTGCCTGTGTGTGTGTGTCAGTATTTCTCAGTGTATGTGGGTGTCAGTATATCTGTCAGTGTGTGGGTGTCAGTATTTCTGTCAGTGTATGTGTGTCAGTATGTTGATCAGTGTATGTGTCTGTGTGTGTGTGTCAGTATGTCGGTATATGTGTCTGTGTGTCAGTATGTCTGTATATGTGCCTGTGTCAGTATGTCTGTCAGTACGTCTACCAGTGTATGTGTCTGTGTGTGTGTCAATATATGTACCTGTGTCAGTGTGTCTGTCAGTGTATGTGCCTGTTTATCTGTATGTAGTCAGTGTATGTATCTGTGTATCTGCTTGTGCGTCAGAGTGTGTACCTGTGCATCTGAGCCGCAACTTTAAATACAAATACACCCCTCCATTCAAACTTCAACACTACATATAAAACACACTCCTGCATTGAAACGTCAACACTACATACAAGCACACTCTTACATTCAAAAACAAACACTACACATAAATGCACACTTGCATTCAAACTCCAGTACCACATACAAACACATTCACACAAACATACTCCATACAAACACATGCTTACATTCAAACATACAAACATGGCTCAGTGCTAAATACAACCCTGCAAGCATGGGAAATTGGTAGAGTCCCAGCTGTCAAAGCATTGTTGGAGTTGCACGACAGATGGGGTTCTACCTTTAGTCCAACCTTGCAATTGGGGGTCCCAATAAAATTCATTCTACTTTAGTACCGCCACTGCGTTGGGATGGATGCCGTGATTGCATACCAGGGAGTGAGGGGCGAGAGCGGCAGGGCCCAGGGGGCCCAAGCAAACACTTGCCCAGGGTCCATTCGTTATTAAAGACGGCCCTGCCAGCAGGCGAGGATTATTTTCGTATATTCCTCCATTACACTACTCTCCTGAGGAGATAGAGCATAGACCGCTCCCTTAGGTGGCATAGCGCCTGGTAGTAAGTTAATGGAACAGTCATATGGTCTGTGAGGAGGTAGAGTATTAGACTGAGTCTTGCTGAATACTTCTTTTAAGTCTTGGTATTTTATATGGATCTCAGGATTTTGATGTGTACTAGTGGGTAATTCAATAGTGCCCACTCTTTTGGTGACATGCAATATGTACCTTTCATTACAATCCTTACCCCATTCTAATATTTCTCCATTAGCCCAGTCAATATGAAGGTTATGATTGCTAATCCATGAGAATCCTAATATGATAAAACAGGGGTAGGCAACCTTTTAGCAGCACTGTGTCGATATAAGATTGTGATGTCCCGTAGCGTGTCGGTCCTATATTTTTAAATTGAGGCGTCTATGTTGCCGTCTTCTGCTTGTGTTATTTTTACTGTAATTGCTTTGTATCATTGTATTTGTGTGTATATGAGCTATTATATTGTATATGTTCATTAGTAGTTTATGGTATCGTGTATGATACCTATGAATGTGGACTGTGTATGAGAGCTGATTGTGGAGTTGTGTGTGTGAATGGAAATGTCACATTGTGTGTTTGGTAGTGTGTGTATGTGAGGGGCTGTTTGGGGTATTGCATGTGAGAAGCTGCATATGGGGTTTTGTGCATGTATGTGGATTGTTAGCGGGTTACGTTTGTACAGATTGTGTGTATGTTTGTTTGTGGGCTGTTCGTATTATTTGTATGAGGGGAGGATTATTCTGCATTTCAGTGTATATCTAGCAGTGTGGGTGGCTTCCCTGTGTTCCAGTGGGGACCAGGCTGGCCAGGTATAGGTCAAGGACAGGAGCTACAACAGCAGCTGCAGGCTTCTCTACTACAGTGTGGATTCCCATTCACAAGTGCTGGGAGGAAGTGAGCTGAGATAATTTCCTCTATGAGCTGCAATGCATAAATTGAGGATTGTCCTTCACCACATCTTCATATTGGCAGATATCTGAAGTTTTACTGGAACTCCTGATAGGCCAGAGCCTGTTTGTCTCCAGCAGCCTTGAGTGCCATGCAAAGACACCTCAAGTGCCGTGCATGGCACTAGTGCCGTAGGTTGCCTACCCCTGTGATAGGAAAAGAAGGAGATGCAATCACCTGAAATGTAATCTCTTCGTTATGTAAGGCACCAATGGAAATATTAATGGGTAAGGTTTCATGTGTTATCAATGGTTGGGAGAGTGGTCTCCCATCAATAGCTTCAACAGCTAGGGGTGATAGTCTCTCTTTGATAGGTATAGTATTAGCCTTGACAAATTGAATATCGATGAAGTTTCCAGCAGCACCTACCCTACAGAGCACTCGGGCAGCTGCAGCATGAGGGGGGCTGGCACTCCTGGCGGCACCAGAATGGAACACTTTTGGGACATTGACTATGGCATTAGTAAACCATCACTAAGGATACTGCTACCATTGTTTATTGTCATGAAGCATTCACATATCTGCACTGTGACCCTCCGCTCCTCTGTCCTCGGAGAGAGTGGGTCCTGGGGCCTGTGGGCCTGGGGGCGGGAGGACCAAGATGGTATGCTTCCATGAGTTCACAGGCAGAGCATTAGTAGCATATTCTCAACTAACATAGAGCCATGGCCTACTACCAGTGTTCTTCATAGGTGAATCGTGACAAATTGTGACAGGCTCACACACAGAGTCAGGGGTGGTGGGTGGGAGAGGGGAGCAAGACCTATCAATGAAGGTTTACAGGTCACTTTCCTGCCTTGTACACACTAAGACAACTCCTTGGGATAGACACACTCAAGGGGTACACCACAGGCACACTTTTCAAAGCTGCCTGGGGTTTCACCACAAGTCACAGGCTGCGTCCCTGGCTGGAGTGGTCACGGGAGATTATACATTTAAGCGCCAAAATGGCACACGCAACCCTAGTTGCAATATTGGTGGAGAGTGGGGAGGAGTGGATTACTGTGCTACCATGCGTGGGGAGGGCAAGGGGGGGGGAGTGGGAAAGGTTTCTATAAAAGTACAAAAATAAATAAAAATAAAAAATCATTTATTAAGAATTGTTAAGAAGCAGATAGGCGGCATCGGCGGCAATCCGATGTGACATGATCAAAGTCAGCTACGCATGGGCTTCAGGGACTAAGGGGGTCGCAAAATCATACACCCCTAATCAAACATGCATACTCTCTGCTCAAGGGTCAGATGACCTTGGTGGGACGGCTTAGGTACACTCAAAACCTTACAGGATGGTGGGGACCTGAATTACTTTTGAATCTTTGTATACCTCACAGTTTACTGTAATTAGTTAACACTTTCAATTGATCCCTATCTGTGTGAACAATTGTTACTGTGGGGAGCAGGCACGGATCTGGCTGGAGTGCACTCTGCTTGGGATTGGTGCTCTCTGCTTCCATAGTCACACAGGTCCCCTCACTAACGCAAGGTTTTGTTCCTGTTGGTTCTGCATAACTACCCCCTCATCTTGAAAAAAATGTCCCCCCCCATTCTCTTTTATTTTATTTTGCTTACTTCTCTCCCGCAGGAGCAACAAGGGAGGGATTGAGGTACTGCCTCACGCATCCTGGACAAAGTCCCTTTGGGGGGCCTTTCCTTGAGTAGACCTCTCCACATACACACAGCGTACCTGACAATAACACACTCTTCCTTGTAGGGTCACGTAGTCCACTGCTCTTACAACTCTTACCCGTCCCTCCGCCTTCTCTTCTGCTGCTGCTGGTCATGCTGGGGGAGCCCTCTTCGTCTGGGGTTGGGGGGCTAGGGAGGAGGCTTGGCCTTCGCAGGTGGGTGTGCCTCTGGCATAAGTATTGATAGTTACCAATAGTCTCCTCACGGGGGGAACTCACACGGCTCCCACCTTGCCTTTACAACACAACTTCATAGCCTCTTCTCCTGTGGTCTCCCAGGAGGTAACAATGTTCTATTGCCCTAGCCCACTGCGGATCCTCACCCAAAATTGTCAGGATGGAGGACACTCCTACTCAAGGAATTATGACACAAACGCGTCTCAATAGCGTTCCTACAGGAAACACATTTTCTGGAGGGATCAACCCCTTCCCTGAAAGATAGAATGTACTCACACACTTTCTTTAGCAATCATAATACCTCAAAAAAGGCAGGTGTAGCCATTCTCATGGCTTCGAGATTGGTTTTCAAGGAAACTGACAAGATGGTCGACACAGACATATCTTCATAAAAGGCACCCTCTCTGATCACATTTATACGTTAGCATGCATTCATGGGAGCTCTGAGATTGTTTGTATTGGGGCAAAGTATAGGGTGTTATCTACTCCTGTGAGGGTTTTTTCCCATTTCCTCCAGCTATGTATTAGAAATGTTGTGCTCTCCATGGGTTTATGATTGGGGGTGTCCCATATTGTGAATGATCTTAGCAGGGAGTCTAAAGTGTATGGTCGTATGCATGCATTTTCTAAGTGAACCCATATTGGCGGTGTGGGTCGGGAGAGTATGTCCAGCCCTTGAGTCATGGCCGCTGCTCTGTAATATGCTCTGATATTTGGGACTCCCAGCCCCCCTTATTTGGTGATAGAAGTTCGGCCATTCTAAGGCTCTGTAATATGTCTTACGGATCCACGTTTTGTGGGTTTTCACTTTCCTGCCTGTTGGGGTAAGACTCCCATGACACTGTGCTATGTGCCAAATAAACCCTGATGGTTACTGTTCCTCTTGTTGTAGTTAACCCTAAATTGAATTCTTCCGTTAATTTTAAAAATGTCTACATTATAAAAATGTACAAGGAAGGAAACTGTCAAGCACGTGTTAGGGGAAAATTATTTCAAAGGGTTTCTGGAGACATAATAAACCACATGACCAAAGGTCACTGGTACATAATTATCTCCATAACTCTCAGCTTGGCTTTATTTTCTTTCAATACATTTTCACTGTATATTCTATATTACATTTTATAGTTAATGTTCATGCTAGGGTTACCCATCCTTTAATCTTAGCAAAGTTCCTGGTCTGCCCAACACTAGTGGGAGTTTTGAAACTAGACAGCAGCCATTAATTAATCTCCTCACCAAATAGTGATATGTTTGAAAACATGATTTACCCATTTGAAATAACAAAATGAACAAACATAAGCATGGGTTGATGGGAAACTTCATTTTATGCATTCCTCTTCAATCCAAAAGCCTATAAACATAACAGAATCTTGGACTGCAGGAGCAAAACTGAGAGGGTGTTTTGCAAATCCTAGCCCTGAAAGCATCTAGGTGCATGTGTGTTACCAATTGATTTAATATGAACATTCTTAAACTCTGTAAATGTGAGTCATTGCATGCTCTGATTCCTTCTCATCAGTTCCTGACACATAAAGATGTGCGTCAATAGTGCTATGAATCACCCTCTGTGCCACAAGATAACTCAGAGACAATGTTACAAATTACATTACCCTTAACATACATTGGCCTTCACATTCTGAGTGAGCAGAGATATACAAAGTACTATGAGATGGAATTTCTGGAGGTATCCACGC